ACCTTACAGGGAGAAAACCAAGGCTTGGGGAGGCTAAAAGTCCTGCTGTTAACTGGTGAAACCACAATTAGAACCTGGACCTGCTTCATGACCAGGTTCTCTGCACAAACTGGGCTCTACCATCACAGGGCCTTGGGGGAGCAAGAGTGATGGGGAAGAGGGGCAGGAAGGCATCGCTAGCAGTGTGTCCTCTGTGAAGACCCAGCTAGGGAATTCTCCAAAGGGAACAGCTATGCGGGGCCTGGCCTCCCCTTGAGTGGACAGGAGCCTTTGGCATGCTGTAGGCCCGCCCCGCCAGTTGCCATGGAGATGGAGTCTGGTGGGGAAGGGCAGAATGCACGAAGAGACAGCTCAAGCCTGCTCCCCAGGCCTGCCCCAGAGATGCCAGCTAGGGGATGGGCACCCTCAAGAGAGGGGAAGGGAAAAGTTGGTATTTCTTTCTTATCTCACTTTATTATGTAGAGCTTCAAGCGCACACTGGAATAGACTGTGTAGGAGAATGGTCTCCTGCCGTCCATTGACCTGCCTTGGCAGCCACCTCTTGGCCACCCAGTTCTCTCCCCCGGCTGACTCTGAACAAAATTCCAGACATCAGTCTTTTGTTTTTTTTCATTTTGTTTGTTTGGTTTTTTATTTACATAGGGTGCATGAGAGGGACAGAAAGAGGGAGAGTGAGAAATCACCCAACACATACAAGAGATGGCCATGCCACCATTTCTTCTCCTCCACTCTCCTCTCAGGGTTTTGGGCATGCACAATTTTCAAGCCATCTGGTCCCTCGAACCACAGTCAGCCATGTGAGAATTCAGCACTCAAACCACCATTCCACCTGCTGGCTCGAGACACCATCCTTTCACTTGCACAGATTTCAGTATGAGTGCGGTCCTTTGAGAAGTTCATGGGAAATGCACATTACCAAAAAAAAAAAAAAAATGCATGGGTTTCAAAGTTTTTTGCACAAAAATAAACCTGTATTTTAATTCTGTTTTTCCATACATGATCTGAAGTCCTCTCATACATGACACCAAACAATATTTTCATTTTATTGCCATTCCTACTGAAACTAACAATACAGGCTGGGTATCCCTTATCGGAAATGTTTGAGGCAAGAAGTGCTTAAGATTTTGGATTTTCTTTCAGACTTTGGAATATCTGCATATACATAATGAGATATCTTGGGGATAGGACCCAAGTCTAAAATGACAGTTATTTGTATTTCATATACACCTTACAGACATAACCCAAGGGTAATTTTATACAGTGCTTTTGTATTGAAATGACGTGCCTGCAGCCTGTCACATGGCCAGGTATGAAATTTTCCACTTGTGGCATCATACAGAGGCTTAAAACATTTTGGATTTTGGAGCGTTTTGAATTTTTAGATTAGGGATGCTCAACCTTTAATTAAAAGCTCAATGCTGGGGTTTGTTTTTTTTTTTCTATTAATTTGCTATAGGGTACCTGCACTTGCCAGACACAGAGACAGAGGGAGTCTGAAAGCACACACCCAAAAGTGTGTGTGTGTGGGGTGGCCACGCTGCAATTTGTTGCCCTCTCAGGATTTTGGGCACGCACATGCATGTACCCAGCATGTTTTCCAAGCCACGAAGACTGAGACTTGAACTGCACCACCAGCCATGTGAGATGCAGCCACCTTAACCACCACACCACTGGCTGGCCCAGCTCAATGTTTAAAAAAATATTTTATATATATATATTATTATTTAAATTTGACCAGATTGATAGAGGGAAAGTGAAAAAGCAAGTCACTGGGTCCAGGACTCAAACTCCTATCAGCCATGTGGGAGTCCAGCGCCTTTAACCATCACGCCACCTGCCAGCCCCAGCGCAATGCTTTTGATATCAGCAAATATCCAGTTAGCATTTCCGTTTCTCTAGTTGTCTCATAATTTTATTTAAGGCTCCAAATAAGACTCATACATTGCCATGGGTGGGTATGGCAACTACATCCCTCATAATCCGAAGGTTCTCTCCCCTTCCCTTTCTCTCTTGCCACTTACTTGTTGAAGAAACTGGGTTGGTTGTTCTGCAGAGTGTCCTGCAGTCTGGGTTTTGCTTGTGCATCTCCAGAAAGGCGTCTTCTGTTTGGTTTTATATGTGTGGTGGGGTATGACTATTTCTCAGTGGCTGTGCTGTATTTCCACTAAAAGGTATGTAGTATCGCGTGATGTTAGCAGCCATTGAGGGTCATTGTCTAGATACATTCTTTCACTAGAGATTGCAAAATAGTGCAGTAGTTCTTTTTTAAAGAATTATTTTATTTTATATTTATTTATTTTAATTTGACCTGAGAGGAGGAGAGAGAGAAAGTGAGAAAGGAAGCCACCAGGTCTGGGACTCAAACCACCCTTGACCATGTGGGAGTCCAACGCTCTTAACCACCACGCCACCTGCTGGCCCTAACACAATATTTTCCATAAAGAGTATCTGCTCTACTACTTTGTTACCAAAACATACAGTTCATATCAAGAAGGATAATCAATTCTTTCCCTTTATTTGACAGTTTTCAAAATAATGAGTTGTTTTCCCCGCATGCTCCAAAAGTAACAGATGAGTTGATCTATGTCAATATCTCTATGTCCATGTTCCCCTCTCGTTGTGCACTCACAGATCTGGACACCTGAAAGGTTCCGATCTATTACAGTTATTCTTACTGGATGCTCACACTGTCCTGTTTTGGGCCAGGGGGAACTCTTCATGATTCCTGCCTCCTTTTTTTTTGGGGGGGGGTTTGCTATACAGCACGTGTGCTTACCAGAAAGACAGACAGAGAGACAGAAAGTGAGAAATCACCCCCCATGGGTGGTGGCCACATGGCAGTCCCCTCTCTTCCATTCTCTTCTTGGGATCCTGGTCACTCACACACATGTGCCTGGCATGAGTTTAAGCCGCTGGGTCTGGGATTCGAACTGCAGTTGACTACGTGGGAGTCCAGCAACGTAGCTATTATGCTATCTGCTGGTTCCAGTTTCTGCATCCCTTCTGACATGACCCCAGAAGCTGCTGCTAGCTCCTGTGCCCCCTGTTTGAGATGTTCCAGACTTAGCTTGAACATGTATGTCAGGTCTGACCATTTCTCCATGGAGCCCTGACTGCTAGTGGGAAGTGGGGTATAGAGACCATGATCTGGGGGCTGGGAGTGCTTACTGCCATGGAGTGGGACCTTATAACCTTCTCAGTGGGCGGGCTATCAGACGCATAAGGCAAAATACAGCTTGAGTTCATACCAATTCAAATGGGAGTCCAGTTCCCTTTTGTAGCCATAGTTTTGCATGTGTGTCCTTTCGTACATGGAGGTGTGACAATGCCTGTTTCTAAAAGCAAAGCTCCCCACCGCAACTCCTTTCACACACAAAGCATATGACAAAGCAGTTAAATCTTTACAAATGGCCCTGGGATGAGCCCTCCAGAGGCTGTCCTCCTGGTGGACTGAGCAGCTCGTTCCATTGGCCACGCGTGGACCCTCTCACTCTGCTCACTGGAATCACAGGAGTTAGAAGAACCTCAGTGCCTGCCCCTGTCCCTCTTATAATTAAGTCAGCATCTTTGAGTCCGGGACCCTACCATCATTTTTACTATTTTTTAAAATTAGTCTAGGTAGGAGCTGGGTAGTGGTGTAACAGCGAAACCTGATGCTCTGCAAGTGTGACAACGCCTGTTTGGGAGGTTCTGGGTTCAAGTCTGAAGGCCTGAGTGTGCTGGACCCACACATGCCCATGATCCAGGGCTAGCTGGAGCTGCAGTGTGAAGACCCTGTGACGGATGCGCTCTCCTTGTCTCTCGCTCGCTCATGGAAGAAATAAGCTTTAAAAATATCCAGTAATTCTAACGTACAGTTGGAGCTCAGGATCACTACTCTGGTCTTTGCTTCTCAGCAGAGAGAAGAGAAAAAGCTAGTGGGTGGTAGAATTGTGCTTGCAAAGGCTGTTAGCTTGAGTTTGAATCCTGGCTCTGCCAGTTTGTAGCTCTGGCCCTGTGCTGATTAACACGAGTTCCTGCCATCATTGGAATGGTCTCTGTCTCTACTACCAATGTGGTCACCACCAGCCACGGAGGGCAGCTGGGCACGTGAACTCACTAATGCAGCCTAGGGAGGACTTTTTTTTAATTCTAATTTTTAATTTTAATTCTAATTTTTGGGAACTGGCAGGTGGTGTGGTGGCTAAGGTGCTAGACTCCCAAGTGGGTGACCACAGTTCGAGTCTCGGGCCTGGTAGCTCACTTTCTCTCTCTCTGGTCAAGTTAAATAATAGTAATAATAATAAATAAAGGGAACCAGCAGTTAGCGTAATGGCTATGTCGCTGGACTCCCACGTAGTCGACCACGGCTTGCGTCCCAGACCCAGTGGCTTAAAACTCATGCCGGGCGCATGCGCGTGCATGCCCAAGATCCCGAGAAGAGAATGGAGGAGAAGGGATTGCGGTGTGACCATCCCCCCTGGGGGGTGATTTCTCACTTTCTGTCTCTCTGTCTCTCTCTGTCTGTCTGGCGAGCGCACGCGCCCTATAGCGAAAATCTCTCAAATAAATAAATAAATAAAAGTCATTCTGAAAAAAAGAATTTAGATTTTTTAAATTAAAATTTAATTTACTCATAAGTAGCTGCAAGTGGCTAGTAGCTCTGTCTTAGATAATACCACTTGCAAAATCACCTAACATCTCGGGGCTGCACGTCTGTAGCTCAGGGATATTGTCGGGACTGGGGAGAGCATATGTAAGCGCCGTTGCACACGGGCACTCGGTGAAACGCTGCTTTCTCCGTTAACAATAACCTGCCACTCTCAGAAAAAGATAAAAAGCTTGCCTGCAAAATGAGGACTCAGAAGCACCCACCATGGCTACAAATTCCGAGCCGTTCCAGAGAAACTCTCAGAAAATATTCCTTAATTGTCGAAGTTCAACTGCAGCAGGAGGTTATCAGTTACAAGGGCTGTATTTCATTACGGATCTAGCCGCAGCTCAATAAATTAAGCAATCACTCAAAATAACATGTTGCTTTAATCCCCTCTCTTGGAACCATTTCAAGTGGTTGGGTTTTGTGTTCGCGCAGCCCCGAAAGGCGACTCACGTTGGCCTGATTTCTTTCCCCTCCATCCGTCATCCCTGTCTGGAAACATCTTTGCGCCTCCTGGCTGGCAGGGGGGAGGATTCCGAGCCAAGCAGGCCTCCTTTTATCAGAACTGAAGCCTTTTCCATCCTCTGGTCTTGATGTGCTCCACGTTTCGTTCGCTGCAATTAGTGGCAGGTTCACCTGCAGCGCAGACAGGGAAGCCTTCGGCAGCCCACGTACGGCTCCCTCACAGCAGCTTCCCGGTTCTCGTCTTCTCCCTAGTGGTTTCTAATCTCACAGCAGAATTTCGTATCCCCTAGAAACTTGGCACCGGAGGTGTCAGCCTGGGAACATATTTGTTTGTGTAAATTAAAAGAAGAATGTGTTTGGACCATATTTAAATTCTAACCGCACTCAAGAAATAAATCCTGACTTGCACGATGCTTCTCGCTGCGTGGTGCCGGCTCACCTCCCCAAACGCTGCCTTTGTTTATAGAACCCAAACTAACGAGACCTCTGAGTGGCTTAGCTCCTCAAAGCTACGGGGACCTCGGAGGCCAGTTCCACCCCCTCCCAGGCCCACGAAGGAAGTCCACTTACCTCGTTTGGAATTGGCTTCCTCTGCATCCTTCCTGGGGTAGAAAGGGTGTCGAAATGGGCATGCTCACACTTGCACTGTTGATAGGCATGTGAGTGACAGAAGCTATTCAGAGGGCACTGGCAACAGCTGTCGAAATTTAAAACGCACACGTCCTCTAACTGAGAAACTCCACTTCTAGGAATTTACCCTACAAGTATATTTGGCCACGCGCCAAAGACCATGTATGCTGTGAAGGCAAGCTCCTGGAGTTCTCGAAACGTCGGCCCGCAGAGGACAGGTTAAGTATGTGTGACGCTGGAAGCGTCAGGACACAGGTCTGAGAACTGCCATGTCTTCGGGATAGACTGTAACACCCCCGGCTCCCTTGACATCATCAGCAAAAATGCCGTGCAGCCTTGGCCACAAGCACCAAGTTCTCGAAGACTGTCTGCTGCACACAGTGGGTACTCCCCAAGTGATGCTGGAGCTGGAGAGAAGTCGCAAGAGGGGCCCCTTGATGTCCCACCTTATATTCTTTGGGACTGTTTTTCTTACTGTAAACATTTTTTTAAAAATTTAAATATGGAATAATTATAAAACATTAAGTGGGGTTTTAAAAATCACTTCTGGGGGTCCGTTAACAATAAGTAATGGCTATGTTGCTGGACTCCCACATAGTCGACCGTGGTTCGCGTTCCAGACCTGGTGGCTTAAAACTCACGCCGGGTGCGTGTGCGTGTGTGCCCAAGATCCCGAGAGGAGAACGGAGGAGAAGGGATTGCGGCATGGCCATCCCCCCTGGGGGGTGATTTTTCACTTTCTGTCTCTCTGTCTCTCTCTGTCTGGCGAGCGCACGCGCCCTATAGCAAAAACCTCTCAAAAAAAAAAATCACTTCTGGAGACCAGCAGAGGGCATAATGCCTATGTCACTGGGCTCCCATGTAGTGGTCCGCAATTCGAGTCCCAGACCTGGTAGCTTAAACTCATATCAGGCATGTGTGCGTGCGTGCCCAAGATCCCGAGAGGAGAACGGAGGAGAAGGGATTGCGGCATGGCCATCCCCCCTAGGGGGTGATTTCTCACTTTCTGTCTCTGGCGAGCACACACGCCCTATAGCAAAAACCTCTCCAAACAAACAAACAAACAAAAATCACTTTTGGGGGCCGGCAGGTGATGTGGAGACTAAGAAGCTGAATCCCTCATGGCTGACTGCACCGTTTGAGTCCTGGACCCAGCAGCTTGAAAATCACACTGGGAGTATGTATGTGCAGGCCCAAAATCCCGAGAGAAGAAAGGAGGAACAGGAATTGCAGGGGCCAGCAGTGGCATGGTGGTTAAGGCGGCTGGATTCCCTCATGGCTGACTGCACCGTTTGAGTCCTGGACCCAGCAGCTTGAAAATCACACTGAGTACTTGTGCGTGTGTGCCCAAAATCACAAGAGGAGAACAGAGGAGAAAGGAGTATGGTGTGGTCATTCCCCCCAGGAGGTGAAGTCTCACTTTCCCTCTTTGTATGTCTCTGGTGGGTGCACACGCCCTACAGCAAAAACCTTAGGCGGGGATAAAGATTACGCTGTGGTACACTCCGTGATTTCTCACTTTTCCTTCCTCCCTCCAGCAAGCACACATGCCCCATAGCAAATTTAAAAAATCATTTCGGCACAGTTCGGTGGTACAATTCATAGCTTACTGGACCACAGTTCTGGGAGCCATGTGGCCTGCTGTGGGTCTGAATTCTGGGGTCAGCCGGAAAACAGGGTGGGTGCATCCATGGGCACCCAAGATCCTGAGGCGCTGGAGGGCTGGGGAGATGGGATCGCAGCATGGCAGGACCATGGAGGGTGCCCTACCGCCTTCACGTGCACTTTTGATATTTAAAAACACTCCATGGGGCCGGCAGGTGGCATGGTGGAAAATGTGCTGGATCCCACATGACCGACTCCATGGTTTGAGTCACGGACCCAGCAGCTTGGAAAACATGCTGGGTGCGTGTGCGTGCATGCCCCAAAGCCCAGTAGAATGGAGAAAAAGGGACAGTGGCGTGGCCATCCCTCCGGGGGTGGGAGTGCCTTCTCACTTCTCTCTGTCTCTCCAGTGCACACACCATATGGCAAAAATCCCCAAAGCAAAGAAATGAAAAAAATCACTTCCATACTCAGAGCCGGAGCGGTAATAACACAAGGCGACTGCAAAAGTTCATACAAAATGAAATGGAGGGCTAATTTATTTTGGTGCAAATGAAACCCTGACATCCACGCATAGTTTCATCATAGTACATGTTTTCCGTGAGCGGTCTAAAGGCCTCAAGTACAGGGACACTACCCTATCTGTCACATGGCTGTCAGCACAGAGGAGTGGCCCCCAGAGGTGGGACCTGTGAGTGATACCTTCTATAGCAGAAGGAGGGATGAAGTCAAGGATTTGGAGGTGAGAGGAGGCGCTCGCTCTGGTTCTTCCAGGTGAGCACTAACTAGAAGCCTCATCTCCTTGTAAGAGGGAAGCAGAGAGACAGAAGAGGAACGTGTGAAGACAGAGCTGGGAGTGATGCGGCCACAAGCAAAGGAAACCCAGGGTCCCCAGGAGCAGGACCCAGTCAGGAAGGACTTTTCCCCTAGACTGCCCAGGGGCCTACTCCGGTTCGGCCTCCAGGCTGAAATAACGTATGTAATACATGCCTACTGTCCCTAAGTCACATAAATGCATTAGATTGGCCCTAGGGAACTAACACCACCTGCCTTTCCTAATACGAGCTGAGCACCCCTAGTCTGCAAGTCCTAAAACTCAAATGCTCCAAAGCCCTTAACTTTGAGTGTCCACATGACTCAGGTGGGCAGTCCCACACCTGACCTCACACGACCAGATGTGGTCAAAATGCTGTAGCACACAGACGGTGTGTAAAGTGACCCTCGGGTTATACGTATGGGGTACAATTGAATTTTGTGTTTAGACATCGGTCCCACCCCCAAGATACTTATATATATATATACATATAATATTATGTATATTCAAATATTCCAAAATCCAAAAAATTCTGAAATCCGCAACACTCCTGGTCCCAAGCACTTTGGATAAGGGACGCTGCACAGTGTGGCTTGTGCTGGAGGAGACGCCAGGAAGAGTGCTCCATCCAGGATGGGATGGAGAGGCGGGTACGGGTTGGGGATGAGGCTGGGGGGAGGAGGCACACAAGCCAGGTGGCCACTTGGTTCATATTCCTGTGGCGTGGCAGGTCTGTTACCGGAAGTGGGGGTTAGGAGGGCCACGTCTTTCCTCCACGGCCTTCAACATCTACCGTGCTGAGAACAGTCTCTCTCACAAGAAGGCCTTTGCTTTAAGGCTGTCTACAAACCCCAAAACTGCCACCACAGTCCATTAAGATCTAGTGATGTAGTTCTTTCATTATTTTATTTATTATTTTTTAACAGAGATTTTTGCTATAGGGCACGTATGATCATTAGAGAGAGAGAGAAAGTAAGAAATCACCCCCTAAGAGAGATGGCCACGCTGCAATCCCTTCTCCTCTTGGGATTCTGGGCACACATGCACATGCACCCCTCATGACTTTTAAGTCGTTAAGATCTAGTGATGTAGTTCTTTCATTATTTTATTTATTATTTTTTAACAGAGATTTTTGCTATAGGGCACGTATGATCATTAGAGAGAGAGAGAAAGTAAGAAATCACCCCCTAAGAGAGATGGCCACGCTGCAATCCCTTCTCCTCTTGGGATTCTGGGCACACATGCACATGCACCCCTCATGACTTTTAAGCCGTTGGGTACAGGACTCAAACCACAGTCGACTATGTAGGAGGTCCAGCGATATAACCCTTAGACCATCTCTTGGTCCCTTTATTTTATTTTTTATTGCTCTTTTTACTTTTTAGGTTTTTGCCATAGGGCACATGCACTCCCTGGAGAAAGACAGAGGGACACAGTGAGTGGGAAGAGGAAAGTGAGAAATCACCCCCTGGGGGATGGCCACGCCACAGTCCCTTCTCCTCTGTTCTCCTCCCAGGATTTTTGGCATGCATGCACACACCCAATGTGATTTTTAAACCACCAGGTCTGGGAGTCAAACCATAGTCAGCCATGTGGGAGTCCAGCATCTTAACTATCACACCACCTACTCACCCCTGTAGTTCTTCTTTGCAATTGTCATTACATTATTTTGGTCAAATGGAGAAGTTCTCTTATTTTTGGTTTGCAGGCGCCTGTCCTCTGGAGGGGAGGAGCCATGTCCACTTTGTGGGTTCCTAGACAGCTCATGCCCAGTGCACGGCTCTGCCTCCAGCAGGACACGGTGGTCACATGAATGCACAGCCCACAAAGAGCAGGGGCTGCGAGGTCCCAATCTGTTCCCTCCTCAGGGAACCCTCCTCTCCAGAGAGAATATTCCAGGTGAACCATAGACCTTTCTGTGACAAAGCCCCGTAAGAACGAGTGCACCCTAGTACCAGCAGTTAGCGTAATGGCTATGTCGCTGGAATCTCATGTAGTTGACCACGGTTCGCGTCCCAGACCCGGTGGCTTAAAACTCACGCCGGGCATGTGTGTGTGTGTGTGTGCCCAAGAGCCCGAGAGGAGAATGGAGGAGAAGGGAATGCGGTGTGACCATCCCCCCTGGGGGGTGATTTCTCGCTTTCTGTCTCTCTGTCTCTCTCTGTCTGTCTGGCGAGTGCACGTGCCCTATAGCAAAAACCTCTCCCCCCCCAAAAAAAATGAGTGCACCCTCAGGTGTCTCCCCAAAACACATGGGAGGCTCTGCATCACTGGGTGTCTTGAGAGAAGATGAATTATGAGTGGGGAGTGTGGCAAGTCCAGGAAAGAAGGGCCAGGGAGTGCCGGAGGCCATCCTTCGAGGAGACTGGAGCTCTGTCTGAGCTGGGGGGACTGGGTGTCACAGCTGCTGCCTGTCCCGTGTTGAGCACAGCCACCTGCTCTGTTGGGCACCCTGGTCCTGCCACTGCTCTGGGTTGTTTGCTAACCAGCAGGCCTCTGTCCCTGTGATTGCCGCCCTGTCACCTGCTTGGGGATCAGAGTACATTCAAAATCCAGGACAAAACGGCACAGCCAACTAAAACAACTGTGGCCTCTGAGGCAAGAAGGCTTAAGACAAATGGTTATTTTTTTAAGTACTTATAACCCAC